AGCAGGGCCGGGCTGGGGTGAGCAGGGCCGGGGTGGGTTTGCAGGGCTGGGGTGGGTGTGCAGGGCCGGGGTGGGTGAGCAGGGCCGGGGTGGATGATCTGGGCTGGGGTGAGCAGGGCCGGGCTGGGGTGAGCAGGGCCGGGGTGGGTTTGCAGGGCTGGGGTGGGTGTGCAGGGCCGGGGTGGGTGAGCAGGGCCGGGGTGGATGATCTGGGCTGGGGTGAGCAGGGCCGGGCTGGGGTGAGCAGGGCCGGGGTGGGTTTGCAGGGCTGGGGTGGGTGTGCAGGGCCGGGGTGGGTGAGCAGGGCCGGGGTGGATGATCTGGGCTGGGGTGAGCAGGGCCGGGCTGGGGTGAGCAGGGCCGGGGTGGGTGAGCAGGGCCGGGGTGGGTGAGCAGGGCCGGGGTGCCCCTGGGACGCCTGCTGGTGACCCGCCTCCACTCCGCCTGCCCGGACCCGGCTCCTCCTACCGTCTTTCCACTCCCTGGTGGCCGGGTTGATGACCCCAAAGAGCTCGTCACAGGTGACTGCCTTGGGGTCCAGGTCCACAGCGATCGGCTTCCTCTTCATGTTCTGGTAGGTCTTGTGGAGAGACTTGAGGACCTGGGCGTGGGGGGGGGGGGGGCGGGCGTTCACACCGGGCTCGGGGGCCCGGCCACTCCGGCACCAAACCCAGGAAGGTGCCCTCCACGAGGGCTGCGGGGGCCTCGGGCGAACCCCAGGCAGAAGTCCTGCTCCGCGACTGTTGTGCTTTGCCGACACACGGGTGAGCGTGCGTCCCCCGAACGGTGGCCGAGGCAAGTAACCCGGGGACAGGGACCGCAGGTGCTCCCATCCGCGGACAGCGGAGCACCTTGTGCTCGGAGACCGGGCTAAGCTCGGGGAAAACCCGCAGCGATTTCCTGACGGTGGAGTCCGTCCCCGCTCGCGGAAGAAAACTCCCCGCCATCCCTCCACCCAGAGAAAAGGGTGTTTAAGGACACTTGTCGGTGGTTCACGTGAACGCGCGTGTGTGTGCATGTGTGCGTGTAGACATAAACATGCATACGTGTGGGGCGCCTGGGGGGGCTCAGCCGGTTGCGCATCGGGCTTCGGCTCAGGTCATGATCTGGTGGTTTCGGAGTTCGAGCCCCGCGTCGGCTGTCAGCACACAGCCTTCTTCTGATCCTCTGTCCCCTCTTCCTGTCCCTCCCCTCTCCCTCTCTCTCTCAAAAATGAATAAGCATTAAAAATGCATACATATGTATATGTTCCTTTTAGAAGACTGGGTTCATACAGTTTCTGCCTTTTTAAAAATAACTTGTGAGCGTCCCCCGTGTTATTACTTTGGAAACGATCTTGAATTAATAGCACGGGAACCCATCCTGTGGGCGGCCAGCTGAACACTTGGCTGGCTTAGAATCTTCCGATGTTATCGATGTGAGTAATATTGGCCGCCACCTTCTGCTTCTCACTATGCCCAGG